AATTCGCCTCGCTAAAAACTCGCGCGCACCAGTTTTCTCTGACGCAACAGCGGCAGCAGCAACCTCAGCAATGACAGATGGAAAACTTGGAGGCATTTCCTTGTGAATTTTTCCGGCAGAGAGGCGTTTGTACACATCGCCGCGCGCTGGCTTTAATCAAAATCGACGGCAACATACAAAGCTTGCGGTCGATTGCCTCTGCGCACGAATCGCTCGCGCCGAAGAAGTAGAGAGAGAGAGAGAGAGAGACGGAAGTTATCTCCTTCAGCGTTTAACTGGACACCTCTTGTTTTAATAACTGAACCTTTTACCTTCCTCCAAGATAGATTTGTCGCGTTGTCGAAAAAGCATTCAATTGAATCGGTTGTCGTTTATCTTTGGTGTGGATTTCCAGCCCAGCTTTCCATCAACAGTAACCAGATATATCGAACATTGCGGGTAATTATGCTTCTCTGATTGTACCCGGGCAAATGCTGAACGCAACCACTCGGAAAATAGCCGGTATACCATAAGTCGTCCATGGCTAACAAAGACCCACTCGCCTGTCCTCTCGCGACGGCATACGCATCGCAAAGTCAAGAACAATCGAAAGCCCAAGGCCGCAGGGCACTACTACATGAGCCGAGAGGGCATAAAAGCGATTTTAGGTATAGAACAACGGTGACGGAGCCGATCCGATCCAATATTGACACTACGTGTCTTGCCGAGTTTATTGCCTCTATAATTAGTCGTAGCTCCGCCGCCATTGTTGTTGTGCTGATATGCGCTCTCCGCCAAGTTCGCAGACGGATACCTAATAAATATTTACTCGCAACGCCGAACGATTTGACCTCTGGCCCGCAGTTCACGCTTTTCTCATTATTTCTTCCGACCTACCGGTCGTGCTCATTTTACACGTCTTCTGGGTCTTGATTACAGCTCTATTGATTCAAGTGAACGTGTATTTTCATGCGATTGCTCTACGTTAATGTTATTATTTTGTTTGATTGCTGCGGCTTTGGTAGAACAGTTATATTACACTACAGAAGCCTGTGTTCTGTGTTAATAATTAATTTACCGACATAACGCAAAGCCATATTGTAAAATGTAAATTGAAAACAGACTTGTTTATTCGTGGTCGACTGCACTGGCATATAGCAATGTCAGTAACGAAATTTATTGTATTTCATATGTTTGTTTCAAATAAATTTTCCGTGAAAACGGCTCCCAGCAATAAAAGTGAAAAACATGTCGTGAAAGACAAAAGTCGGTAATGGATTCTACGTAGAAATTCAATATACAAGAGTTTCTGTAAAGCGGAGAAAAGAATATTTTATACGTTTGCTCGTAAATTTGATTTAAGTTAATAAATCTATTTGATCGTATTCGATCTGTGCACAATAATTAAAAAAACCATCCAAAAAAACGTTAGAAAATTAGGTGCTTCTTATACACGTTATTCCTCAGCTATATAATGTAAAGTTATTGTCGAAAAGGTATGTTTATAATTAATCTCAAGTAAAATTGCTTCATGTTTTTATATGAAGAAGAGCTGCGCGATAATATCGAATGACAAGTTAATATAAGTACATGACCGACTAGTTCCATAAAAATAAAAATAAAAGTACATATATATGAAATTTGCATATTTCACTCTCGAGAAATTTTCCTCCGAGGAACAAACTACGAGGTATCGCGGAACGAATTTATGATTACCGTGGGAGATTTCTATATCAATTTTAAGTAGCAACAAAAGATTGCGTCAGAGCTATAAACGAATATGCTACAATATATTTTGATACTTAAAGAAAAGCTGAATGTTTTGATCATAGAAAAAAAGACCTTCGTATTTTTCATCGTCGCGTAGCAAATAAATTGCAAACGTTTTATCTCATTCCTCCCCTACCGCGTACTAAGCAACAAGTCGTCGCGCCTGCGAGTACTAGCACGAATTTATGCGAATTATCGCGCAATTTAATTCCCTGAAGATTCGGCAAAGTTTCCACCAGTGGTATCGCCGCGTAATAAACAATAACCGTCCGAAACTCCAACTCGGCTTTTACGAACCTCACACGTTCCCAGCCGCCTCCCCTCCCTTACTCTTTACTCCCAGCAAAGTTTTCATGCGGCGCACAGCGATGCGTAAGCTCGACGCTCGTTCCAATGGCTATCTATTGCTGCTATTTTCACGGCAAAGCTTTCCTCGAGCGCGAGCGTATAAAGGATATTTCGCCGTGTTTTTCTATTTCCAGCTCGGAGATACTGCGGAATGCGTTGTTTTTTTTTCTGCTTTAATGCTCCTTTAAGCTTTGACAATTTTGTTTTTTACTTTTTGAGTTATTTATTCAGCGAGTTTCGGGCTTCTCTTGGTTTGTTGAAGCACAAAAATAAGTGGATTTAATATGCGACGAACGTGAAAAGGAAAACACGTTACGAAATGAAATTTTTGACAAACACATCTGAAAGCTGATGAACATCGATCGACGAATATTTCGTTCTTTGTCATTCGCTTTCTCAGTTTTACATATAATGAATTTATTTTGGAATGGCAGCTCCAAATCGAGAGTTTACCCAAGTCCTAACGTACGCTTGATTATCCCCCTCGGGCACATTTTTCTTCAGTCTTATCGCGTGTTCCCCTCTTTATCCAGCGAACCTTGTTCTACCGCTGCTTGGGATTGTATTTCCGGTAGCTAAGGATTCTTCGCATCGCGGGAATAATCGGCACGTTATCGGAGGAGAGCAGATGTTGCTGCCGCATGCCATGCCTCTTGTTCTGATGTCGGCCCCTATTTCACCTCACACCACCATCTGCTCGTTTATACATGGTCGTGTACTTCGCGGCGTACCTGCGTCATTCTCATAAGTTATATTTGCTCTACTTACTGTTTAAGAGCCTTTTAAAAAATAGAGAGACGCAGAGAGAGAAATCGAGCTCCTCCACCGTGCGTACACGTGAATTGCTCGTAAACGAGCTTTACGCGTCGTTGCAGCTTTGTAAACAATTTTATTACGTGCTGACGCTAAAACACTGCATTGTTACTGGCGGCTACGTTCGCAATTATGAAAACGGAAAGCGAACGCCCATTTCTAGAAGGATTTTTCAAACCGACGCGACGTTTACCTTCCAATGAATTCTTCGCCCCGACCTCAACAGCAGAATCAATCTCCTTTTGCCTGTTTGCATGTCACTGTCAACCTGATACAGTGCCGATAATCAAAGAGGGAGGTAGTGAGCGAGAAATGAATCCGTCCATCAGGAATAAGCACAAACCATATCGATCGATCGATCGAGAGAGAGAGAGAGAGAGAGAGAGAGAGAGAGAGAGAGAGAGAGAGAGAGAGAGAGAGAGAGAGAGAGAGAGAGAACGCGCGAGCTACGCCTGCCGCGGCAGTCTTTCGTAAATGTATTTATAGCTCCGTGAGCATTTATAGGCGCTCGCCTGTCGAAACATCATAGTGGCATGGCATTATGTATCTCTGAAGATTCCAGTCCCTTAACTCAGCAGGCGGAGCTTTTAATCTTCAGTCTCAGATCAAAACGCGACAGTCCTCGTTTCACATCGACATCAGTTATTCCAAGGGGCTGATTTTCGTCATACTGAAAATGTACGAGACACTGGTGTGTATGTGTGCGCTTCAATTAAACGTTGACGAGTTTGAAGCGCGTGTCGTGCCAATTAGCAGGAAGGACGTGTTTGCTCGGAGCAAGCTACTTTTGAGATGGTAGCGTCGCAAACGAGAATCTTACGCTGATTGCTCTGATTAAATTAAGCTTCGCGAGTAGTGTAAGTGGCAGTTTATACATATACGTGTCGTTGCACCTAGCGCTTAAACAAATTAGCTTATTAAATCATTGATTACCGAGGCTGCAACGACGACGACGACGACAACGATGCCAGATGCGACGAATAAAAAAGTGCTGCTGTTTTCTTAAACGTTCTGATGGCATGATTTATTGTATGTCGTATGGTACTCGACAGTCTAAGCGCGTAACGCGAACAAAATGCTCTTTTGTGTGACGTTACCGAGATTCGTTTGATAAATAGTCATCCGTTTGTCATCTACTTGGAATTTCAATGCTACACTTGATTTGCATTAAATGAAAGGTCGCACAGGCGGATCGAAACTGCATTGTATTTTTTAATTGCCCGAGTGCGAGAGGAGGACGTATTAGCATACGATGACGCGTCAATTTTCTAGCTCGCAACCATAGAGAGTCTAGTGTCAAAGCATTCCTTGTAGAGAGGAGGGAATCGAGATTATATCTTGTGCCGTGGTATTCGTGGCTAAGCGTTCGCTGCAACAACCTTTGTCTCTGTCTTAGAGGCGTGGCGTTGTTTCTGCAGTGTCTCATCTGCAAATATTCATATACAGGTATACGTACTCCGTTTGTTATTATGATAAATCCGAATGCTCGTGTAGCATTAACGATTACGCGATTGAAGCGAGTTTATCGGTTGAATGAAAGCCGAAGGGTTGAACCAAAAAACCATAAAATTTTTATTGACACGGATAATCAGGAAAGTGAAAGACGTGCGTATATATATATACACCATAAAGGACGATGCGAGCCTCCACTCGAAAGTGCGTGTCTCAACTGGCAAGTCTACAAAAGATAAAACGTATCCGATAGGGTGCTATATATACATATATTGCTGCGGGCGCGTAGTGTGCGACAATAGTCCTTTTTTCGGGACTCAGACTAGCAGTCGATGACAGCTACGATAAGATTAGACACGAAGACCAACAGTCCCGCAAAGTAAGTCCATGGTCAATCGAGACGATTATCTCGCGAACGGCATTTAACGTCGCCTCTGTTGAGAGCGAATAAGGCTAGCTAAAGCTTCCGCAAGCGCAAACAAAGACTGTGCTTCTTCTTCGATGATCTCGATCTTTATATGAAGTGGCTGGGCTGTTTTCTCTCTCTCTCTCTCTCCCTCTCTGTAATCTGTAATCTGTTGGCTTTGACGCGCGCACTTTTATCACGTTATTAACACAGAGTTTTTTTTGTTTTGCAGATCTTACAGTTTGGATTCATGAACTTCTGGTGAGTTGTTTTTACCACGCGCTAGCATAAAATTGTTACTTTGGTAAAGAAAAAGACAGTAGTTAAATTTTACTTATGAGGACTTTCGTGAAAACGAGAAGTATATAGCGCTTACGGTTACCTGTCAAAAGCCAAGTTGAAACTTTATTCGCGAAGTTCTATGCTGCGTGTAACGTCAGGCAATAAGCGCTTTCGAAGAATTTGCGGCGCAAAGTTCAGCGATGCGTGTAGTTTGAAGCAAGCGTAATATCCGGTTGGCGAAAGCCAACTTTGCCGACGACAACTTGCGCGTCTGTCTATCTTCTCCGCTCTTCGGTAGAGAAAGGCGCGCAATGAATATATAGCATATGCAAAAAAAAAACGAGTAGCGGAAACAACGCCCGAAGAACATTGGCTCGTTCTCCCGAAGATTGACACCTACATCTATATTCACTCGCGCCATTTTTCACTGGCCCAATGAGCTGCGAAGCGGTCTGTCGACTTGTTCGCGCACTTTTCGTTGCCGACTCGTTTTGACATTTTGGCGTTTGCTAGGTGATGAAATGCCGCAACGATTGCATTGAACAGCTTGAGCTCGACCTTGCGCTAATCTACTTTTACATGTTAGAATATATTTACTATACAATCTAAACATGTGAATTAATTTATCGAAGGAAAATAATTGATCGATATGTGAAAAAGTTTTTAACTCCTTTTGGTACATTGACCGTAATTATTGAATATTGGATAAAGCTTTAATTATATTCGTAACAATGTAATGCAAATTAAAAAAGTTACTGTCGGTAGATTTTGTAATTGGCATGATAATGTAATGGTGTACTGTAAGGGCTGCTAATTAAATGCAACGAATATTACAGTGGCTTCACAAGTTTTAATTATAGTTCACCGAATATCTTTTCTAAAACTATAGAATTAAAATAAAGTCAATCGGTTTTACATGGAGATATCAAATTAAGTTTCCCTTAATTCTGCATTTCTTTAAATTGTCGGTACCATTAAAAAAACACGACAAGCTAGCTCAATTATTGACCTCTAAATGTGCAAGTTCTCAGAGGAATGTAAAACTCCGCGGCGCAAGCACCCACGAGACTAGCCGGCACTCGCCGCGACGAAGAACAGCGAGCCACATGCGTTTCCCACGAGGAGCGAGCGAATTGGCGAAAATTTAGTTGGCCCACAATTTCTTCTACCTCTTTTTTTCTTTTTGCTCGTTCATTCGTTTGCACGTTCGTCGAGAGAGCTGCTGAAATTTCGACAAATTAATCCGTTTCGTTCAATCGCCAAATCGCCATATATTAGAGCAACGCGCGCAGCCGGTGACAATAAATTGGCCAACGTTAAAATCGGCTTTTTGCGCAATCAACGGCCAAATTGCGTGGAGCACGTGCGAACACCAGCCAAGTCTCGAGCCCTGACGAATTTTACGCTGCTGCTGTTTCCTCGTTTTCTTTTTCATCCCTGCTGTGATCGTGTCGATACGAGTAATTGCTCTGGGGACTTTTGGCGCGCTGCTGCTGCTGCTGTTCCTGCAAAAATCCATTTTCAACGGATTATTTATTTATTTATTTTTTTTTTCGTTAAGAGGAAATAACGACATTTGGGCAAAGAACTTTCCGATGGCATTTTTTTTTATTTCTATTTTTCCTTGCTCACTACTTTCAAATAGGCGATGTTTGCTTCTACGCGTTCTTCGCAAAAAACTAGTAAAATAAGCAGTAAATCTTATATGTCTATCGGTAAAGCAAGAATCTCAAGTATGTTTTTCCGAAACTTTGCGGTTGTTTTGAAAATAGCAGCAGCAGCTATACCAGCTTGATGTAATCTCAATGAGACCACGAAAAATAGTACGAATCAGAAACGTAAACTGCTCCCGGTATATTTTTGTAAAATGTACTTGTTTCAAAGTATATTTGCGATATATTGAATTGTTTTTGTCGTAGTTTAATGAAAAAAAAATGTTCTATAAAAATGTCCATTCCAAGGCACTGCGATATATCGAGCCAAAACCTAAAGTTGAATATTTTACTACTGCAATATATTTCGGATACGTTAACGGTAGAGTTTCAACGCGAGTCATCGGTATATACATGATATTATAAACTCGTAAAAACAACGATTACCCCGCTCCTCTTTCAAATTACGTTCAGATACGCAGCCTGCAATAAAACAGTTCGTGATTCGCAAGTTTATTCCTGTCGGCTATACACATGGCGCGCCAGTTTGAATTTCGCGAGATGCGGTTAGTAGAAAGAGGAAATAAAAAAAGTAGATCCGATTGGCCATGCGTCAAAGGCTTTTTTCCCCTACAGGCACACTGTTTCAACGAGCTGATTTTTAGCACTGCAGCTGCGAAGCAGCAATCTTTTATTGCGTTACTTTTCTATTTGTTTTTCTAACTGTGGATTACTGAATTCATCCGGATCACTGAGAGTCCGATGTCGGACAATACTTCGTCTCTCTCTCTCTCTCTCTCTCTCTGATTTGTTCCTTTTATGCAGCCTTCTATTGGATTTGCGCATCGAATCGGTTATCTGTAATGAGAAAAATGAGATCTATCTGCCTCGGGTTTGTTCTACTTTTTCTTGAAATGAACTTACGTAGAAAGTTTCAAATGAACTGGGAAAGTTTCAATAAGAATAATATCTTTGCTAGAACAAATAACGAACTTTGGTGCATAATGATGTATTGAAAGGTCATTATTATTGCGATGAAAGCGTAGTATTGTTTATATAAAAGTGGAGGGCAACAGAGAGAAAATTATCTGTCGGTCAGATAAGCGACACGGCATCAAGCTAATTTAGGGGAAAGAACGCAGGACAATGGAGCCTCGGCGCATTATTATCCGTTATCCTCTCTCAGCGCCAAGTTGGTTTTGGCTGGCAATCGATGTGAAGGTCTTCTCGAGAGGAGAAGCCGCGTATAACAGAGGAGGGCAAGCGAGCTCGCGTGATTCGTTAGGTCGATCGCACTCGCTTGGCATCAACGTGTATACGAGTACCTCTGTATCAAGAAAATGCCCGTCCATTTATCCCACGACTTCCTCTCCCGCCCTCTCTCTCTCTCTCTCGCTCTCTCTCTCGCGCGCGCTCTCTTACCTAGTGCTCCTCGCCAATTGCAATTTAACTTCCTGCGGAAAATGGTGGTTGTTTATGTGCGCTATAAAAATGCTACTCCCACCATCGCCAACCGCCCCGGGCGCAGAGAACTCTTCTTGCGGTATTGAATTGCCTCTCTCTGCAGCTACTGCGGGCTAACGTGGCGAATTTTAATTGAAGCGCAAGATTTTTTATTATTTTTCATTGCGATTTTTCAATTAACTCCTTTTCATAACCCGTTGATTTTCCGGCGATTTCGCCTGTCAACCAATACTTGATAAAATCAATAAAAGTGTAAATATCTTCGATTGCTTTTCTGAATATTCATTGGTACTTATTTACCACCAATGCCGTTCCCAAGTGGACTGATAAAATTTATATACGAGCCAGATAGTCGGTCGATCGCGCGGCTCACTCTAACTACTGATCGACGAAAAGAATGGCACGAGTAAATAACCAGTAAGACAGGGCACTTTCGCTAATCCCCGTAACTCGTCGAATTAGGGCAACCATCGCCTTTGAAAAAATACGAGTCGATAATAACTTACATAATTCGCAATAATTTATTTACCGTTTCACGCGTCGGTGAAAAAAAGAAATTGCCCTGACGGTAATTCATTAACACTTCTCGCACGGTCGATTAAACTGCATGTGCGCGAAAGACATAGCATAAGCTTTCGCTTTCGAAGTGTCGCCATTGCATTTCGACTGTGCGGATATCCTTTTTTTCTCTCTCTTGCTGGGTGCGCGTGTCGCGCAATAACGCTCGCTGCTGTTTTTCTTCTCTCCTTTCTCTTCGACTTTGCCAATGCCTCGAATTGCAGTCGTTTCTCGCGACGGCTTGCCACTTCAACTACGGAATGTTGATTGTTTGGCTTGATCTATTCGTTTATTCATTAACCCGCTTGCGTATGTATAATTTACGATGACCTTTTTCTCTTTTTTCTCTTATCCCCTTATAAACAATCGATGACTGCCATGTTAAAGCATTTTATTCGTGATCTGATTGGCTCAGATATAATTACATGATATACCGTTATGCGGCGACAAATAAGCGCGTGGATGCGGTTTCGAGTTGAGATTAGTAATAAAAATTCAATTTATCGTAATTAATACGGATAATTTGAAAATAATGAAAGTAAAAAATTAGGCGGCAGTGTTATTGTTTTCACACTCATTGTATGAAACTAGCAGTGAATAAATCGTTTTGTAAAAACAAGAGGTTAAAATCGTTCTAAATATTTTCTATTATTAATCGATATTTTGGTTTTTGAATGTGTAAGATTGAAACAAAGATTGTCATGTACAAATTTTTATTCAAAAAGTAGGATAATCCTTTAATAATAATTTAACTCGTTGTAAAAAACTAAAAGATCATTTATTGCAGTATTCGATATGATAAATCATGAATTTAAAAACGTGTTTCATCATTAATACAGCCTTTTGCGCTGTGATGTCTTTTGTAAAAAAAATGAAAAATCCACCTTTCAAAAAAGTAATTTATATAAAATATCGAAAATTGATGGCTTGTAAAGTGAAGTTATTTTATTCGTAATCTGATTGACTAAATGTAATCACGTGGGTCGATTATTGTTATACGTAAATCGGCATTAAGTGACAGATATACTATTATATATATGGGCGTTTTCCATATATCAATATTTTATTAATACAAATAATTATAATAATTTGTAAGCGTTGAAAAGCAAATGACTTCCGTATTCTCTCAACAGCATAATTAAAATAATACGATAAAGTATTCTTAATGCACTTTAATTACATTTATTTATAGGACATGTAGATTTATTGAATATATTTATTGTAAAGTATAGCTTTGGATAAATATCATCAAGAATGAAAATAATTATAAATCGACATTTCATATGAAATTCTGTCAATTAATGT